GGCATGCACAGGTTAGGGAGTCATCTCCCACAGCTCCTCTGGGTGAAGCCCTGCAAGGGTCCCCAGGCCTGTGAGCGGCAGACGGGCTAGCAGAGCGACAGGGAGCTGGGCTGAATCTCAGCCCCCACATATACCAGTGTTGGGCCTCACATGCATTAAGACACATCTGCGAATGTGAACTGTGTCCGGGCTACACTCGACAGCCGGTTTGCACGGCTTCCATGCTGGCCCTGTGGTTCTGGCATCTGGGCTACACCCACCTCCACCCAGCCTGATGTAGGAATATTTGGGTCCATCTATCTGAGCCAAAGCTTACCCCAGCCCCTGCTCTTGCTCAGGGAAATGCCCCCCAGCTCCCTTCATAAACCCCTAACCCCCTTCTCCCCTCCCAAGCCTCTGGGACCAACCACTCTTAGTGGAGGTCTGATGTGACAAGACAAAATGTTCCTGCTCGCCTCAGGAGGCGGCTTTGGTTCCAGCAGGTGGGCAGACAGGAGGCCTGGAAGGTGCTCGCCCAGCTCCCAGCTCCCACTACACTATCCTTGTGCTGAGCTCTTGGCTCTGCTGGGGCCAGGGGAGGCCTGAAGCAGCCGAGAACAGGGGTCCCTCGGGAGGAGCCGGGGCAGCAGCATGCTCTGGACCCAGTCCTCCACAAGCCTGAACACACGGGGAGGAAGATGACCACGTGCCCTTAACGCCAGTATCACCCCATCAACCCCGAACACAGGTATTTTGTTAAACAAAGCTCGAGTTCTGCCATCCCGCCATTCCCTACAGATGGGTGTGTTCTAGGAGTGAGGCCACCGCTGGGGGCTGCAGCTCCAGGTCCTTGGCCCAGGGCCCTGCCAGGGGTTGGGCACCTGCTGAGGGCCCAGCGCTGTGCCACATGGAGGACACTGGATGGTGCTCAGTCCTTGTCTGAGAAGCTGAGAGTCTGGGGGAGGTGAGTGTGTCAACTAGTTTCCACCAGGCCCTGGAAGTGCCCTGTCTCCCTCCAAAAGGGGCCTGGCACACAGCCTGAGACCCTGGGCACTGTGTGCTGGCCTGGCGGGGTCTGGAGAGTGGTCTCAACGAGTCAGACCTGGTTCCCTTAGGGGCAAGAGGTCAACCTCTGGCAGGATGGGGCCCTTGCTGGACTGCTAGTTGGCTCCTCACTCGCTCCCCTGTGCCTCCAGTAGATAAGACATGTTGTCCTACCCAAAAGGGAGAACCTGAGGTGCCTCCTGGGCTGCAACGACAGCAGCATCAATATGCCAGCCAGGACCCAATAGGCCTCCAGGAAGAGCAAGCCTAAGTCCACAGCAGCCCTGCCACACCAAGACAGAAAGCCCCAACCCGCCCCTCTGGGGGCCGACCTGGCCTGGAGCAGGTGGACCCTCCTTCACCTTGTGTTTACAGAGAGGCAGAAATGAGCAAGCTCTTCACAAGAATGAGGACCTCATGGGGCAGCTGGTGACAGATGCCACAGCAGAGAGGCCAACAAGGGGAGCATCTGCTATCACCCTAAAGGAAAGGTTTGCTGGCCAGCAGAGCAAAAGGAACAGATGGCATTTAAACAGACAGGGCTGCTAGGCAGAGGGGGGACCACCCAGGGTGCAACCAGGGAGCAGCGTTCCCTCAACCAGAGAATGCAGCACCAGGAGCATGGAGAGCGGTGGGCGGGAAATGGGGACTCTGGGTACCAGGACAAGTCTTTGCTACTTAACCCGAAAGCTGCATCCCCTTAGTCTCCCAACAAGACGAAGTGGACAATCCAATCAACACCTCTGGGTGCTGTGGGTGGTCCCTGAGGTCCGGAGCCTGGATGTGCTGGCAGAGAGGATGATGGAGCCTGGAAGCAATGCCGAGCAGCAGGGCCTGGGGGAGGGATGGGCTCAGGAAGCCAGCATGGCCGCCTGGACCCAGGGCATGCAGGCTGAGGGAGGTGTAATTTGGGCTTCCCCCAGGTCAGTGCCGGTGCAGACATCTGTAGGCTCCCACGGGTGCTGAGAACAGCCGAAAGCTCAAGCCTTGGCTAGGAGCTACAGCTGGGATGGGGCGGGATCTGCTGTTTAAGAGCTGGGTGCTGAATGGCAGGAAGCCCAACCTTCCAAGCTTTCATTTCCTTAGGTGTGGAAAGGGGGGCACCAGGTTTCATCAGGTGGGGGCCTGTAGGGGAAGGCGCAGGGGCTTCCCCGAGTCATCAGCACAGTAGCGGGGTCAAGAGGACTCCATAGGTGGGGAAGCCAGGTGGGCCCTGCCTGAAGCTCTGGGTGCACTGCAGGCCTTAGGGGAGGGGGCCTCTTCCTGAGGCTCCTTGGCCAGTGTTCCCTCCACATCTGTGCTGAGCCCGCAAACACCCACGAGGACAAACCACTTTCCAAAAACAATTCTCCTCACCTGTCCTCTAGAGGGTCACTTGAAGCCCATACTTCGGTGGTCAAAGCCACCGTTCCTCTCTGTCACCGGGCTTCTCATCCCTGGAGGGAGAAGGGCTCAGTCTCTGCGGAGCTGGTCTTCTATATGAATTGCAACAGTGGCCAGTATATGACCCCATCAAAAGCCAGTGCTCTACGAGCATCTCAGAGCATCCTGGGAAAGGCTGGTCCTTCTCAGCCCAACAGGTCCCAAGGCCACCCCATAGCACCCCTCGTGCCACTGGAGGGAAAACCTTCCAGGACCCTCCCAGCTCATCCTCGCCCAGCTCTGCTCGAAGGTCCCAGACCCTGGCCTCAGGGAGAGGGAAAGCTGTGGCTGGCAGCCTGAGAACAGCTGAAGCACAAGACACTGGAGCATGCGACACAGTTCAAATCCAGCCACACTACATACAAATGAGGCCTGGCAAAGCTGGGGACAGTGCCCCAGCCCAGGATCTGATCCCTGCAGGAACATTTCCCCATCCCGGTTAAATGAGAGGCAGCGGCATCCAGGGGACAAATCCGCTTTGGAACCTGAGCAAGGCACCTTGTACCTCTGCACCCGTCTCCTCATGTATAAAATGACTGTGGTTTGAATCAGCTGGTCCCACAAGCCCTCCTAGCTTCCAGAAATCAGGCAGGAACTGGGACACTAGAGATGTGGGTTATCAGGGACCCCTTGAGTCGGGGCTCCTTCAATCCTACAGCTGCCCTCCCCAGGAGGCTGCGCCCCCTCAGCTGGCCAGTCTGGCTCATCCTGCAGACACAGCTGATGTTCCTCCTACCTTTCCTCCTGTGACTCAGTCACCCTCACTTCTTTTCCTCTTGGGTGAGAAGCGGTGTGTGGTGGTGGTTGAGGAAGAACAGCCCCACTGTCCAGGTTCAAATCCCAGCTCTGCCGCTTGCTGCCAAGTGACGGTGGGCAAGTGCCTTCCCTTCTTCCACCTTTTAGCGCACCGTAGGCTAAAATCTGAGCTTCACACATCCCTCGCTGAAGCTACAAACCCACTCACTGTGTCCCCAGAATGTACTCTCAGCCCCACTTCTTCTCCCTGCCGCCTGGGAAGGTGGATCAGATGGGGAGACAGTTTGGCTGCCGCAGTCCCTGCTGAAGCAAGAGCTTTTAGCCTTGACCACGAAGGTTCATGAAGACAGGCTGGCGGGGGGGGGGCATAATCTCTGAGCCTGGGCCAGGGCTGGGGGCGGCCCTGAACCAGCTCAGCAGCAGCCCCAGCCCATCTGAAACACCTCTGAAGGGTGCCAGGCTCTCTCCGCTCTTGGGGACAGCACAGCCCAGGAGTTGGGGACGCAGGCTCCAGGGTCAGACCACTTCAGATGATACCCTGACTCTTCTCATCAGTGAGAGTTTACTTAGCTCTCCTGTCCCTCAGCTCCTCCAGGGGACGCAGAGGTGGCGACTCTGCAGTGGGCTAAGGTGGGATCAGAACACCACCTGAGACCACGGAGCAGCCAGAAAGTGCCGCCTGCGGTCACGCCGCCCAGCGCGCCCTCGAGGCCCAGGGAGCGGGGCCGCGGCCGAAAGCAGTCGCAGCGCAGTGCGATCCCCGCTGGACCTCACGCAG